AGCAAGTGAAGTATGGAATAAAGTCAGAGCCGTGTATGGTAGACAATCAGTTAGGCAAATCACACATCTGCGGACCTGTAACAGCAACATCATTAACAGCACAAATGAGGTCTGTAATTTACTAGCAGATAAATTTGCTACCGTCAGCAGCTCGGAAAACTATAGTCGCGAGTTCAGGTCCACCAAAAATGCAAGGGAATTACCATTAGACTTTTCAACAGACGTATCTTTAGCGTATAATGAGCCATTCCAACTGTTTGAGCTAGAAGAAGCCTTAAAAAAGACAAATCGATCAGCTCCTGGTCCGGATATGGTAAATTATGAGATGATCCGTCATCTCCCTCTCCATCTCAAGCTTACTCTCCTCAACATATACAACAGGATATGGCTTGCAGGAATATACCCAAAAGACTGGAAACTTGCAATCGTCATTCCCATTCTTAAACACGGAAAGGATCCACTCTTGCCTGAAAGTTATAGGCCCATAAGTCTTACTTGCTGTCTCGGAAAAATATTAGAGAGAATGGTAAATGAGCGCCTGTCGTGGTTTCTTGAAAAAAATGGCTTACTTGTTGATTACCAGGCAGGATTTAGAAAAAATATGTCTACAGTGGATCAACTTGTCTATGTAGAGAATGTCATCCAAAATGGGTTTAAAAACCGTCACCACACAGTAGCTGTGTGTTTTGACATAGAAAAAGCTTTTGATATGGTCTGGAGATATGATGTTCTATACCAACTGCACAACTGGGGCTTTAGAGGAAATCTCCCAAAATTTTTGAAATCCTTCCTTACAGACAGGCGTTTTCAAGTACGTGTAGGAAACACTCTTTCAACAGTCCACACCTTGGAAAATGGAATACCACAGGGATCGACACTTAGCTGTACGCTTTTTGCGATTGCTATTAATAAACTTGCCGAGTCCATAAATCCGGTGGTGGACAGATGTCTATACGTTGACGATTTGTGTATACTATCATCAGGCCCTTCCATTGAAGAGATTTCTGGTAACTTGCAGACAGCAATAAACAAAATAAGCCAAAATGCCATAAACAGTGGTTTCACATTGTCAAATACCAAAACAAAGTGCGTACATTTCTGCAGACTCCAACGTCAGCATGATGGGCCACTACTTTATCTACAAGGCCAATTAATTCCCAACGAAACATCTATGAGATTTTTGGGATTGATATTTGACTCAAAGTTAACGTGGAAATGTCATATTGCAGAATTAATCTATAGGTGTAAGTCAACGTTGAATGTTATTAAGTGTCTGAGTTCTACCCGGTGGGGAGCTGATACAGAGGTTCTGATAAAAATATACAAGTCCTTGGTTCTATCAAAAATCGACTACGGATGCATTGTGTACTCATCCGCTCGACGTACTGCACTCAATAAGTTAAATACTATCCAAAACCTAGGACTGCGGTACTGCCTTGGAGCATTCCGTACAACGAGAGCAGCTAGCCTTTGCGCTGAAGCAGCCGTCGAGCCATTAACTCTAAGGAGAAAAAGACTCATACTCTCATACGAAGTCAGTACATCTGCTACGCCACATCATCGGAATTTCTCTCTGTTAAGTACGTATGATGAAACCTATAATAGAAGGCCTACTATCACAAGACCCCTCAGTGTGAGAACTTGTGAAATATCTCGAGAGCTAAATTTGACTAAAATGCCAGTATATCCACTCAAAAATGAAGCCCCACCTTGGCAGATCCCATCTGCACAAGTTAACACGGAGCTAACTAAATTTCACAAAAAGGAAACACCAACAGTACAACTGAGGTCTCATTTTCAAGGTATCCTGGAACAGTACACATGTGCCGCAACCATCTACACAGACGGTTCGAAAACTGCCTCAGGAGTTGGTTGCTCGATTATCATAAACGGGGTGGTCCATTTATGGACTCTCCCACCAATGACATCGATTTTCACAGCCGAACAGTATGCAATTTTACAGGCGCTTAAATACTGCCAGATAGAGTCAAAAAGCAACCTTACTTTTATAGTCAGCGATTCTTTGAGCACCCTACACGCTATGTCAAATCATTATTCCCGTGATCCGTTAATCTTAGCATGCCTTCAGACATTAAAGGTATTGATGGATGGTGACAAGAGGGTAGTCTTTATATGGGTACCAGGACACGTAGGTATACTAGGAAATGAACTGGCAGATCAATCTGCAAGGCAGGCTGCTGCCGCAACTGGAATTGACTGTACAATAGTGAAAGCACCAGACTTGAAAATGGAAATTAGACAATGCATAACGGAAGCATGGCAAAGACAGTGGAACAATGAACTTACTCAGCTAAGAACAATAAAACCTGATGTAACAAAATGGACACCTAACGTCAAGATGAGTAGAGAAGAAGCCGTCCGGATACATAGACTGCGTTTGGGCCACACAGCATTGACACATTCCTACTTACTCTCTGGCCAAGGCCATCCAAATTGTCCGTCATGCGAGGCACGATTAACTGCAATGCATATTATGATAGAATGTCCAGCGTTAAGCAACCTTAGAAACAGTTTTGGTCTGTCAAGAGATTTCGCAGAAAATCTGAAAAAGCCTGATCTAATAAAAAACACGATATCGTTTCTGAAATGCACGGGCTTTTACTGGAAACTCTAATTATACTCAAATTGAATCACATAACGACACGCAGCTAATGACCCAGTAGTCGATGCTGCATAATCCAAAGAACTACTACAGTATGTCGTAACAGAAACAGCAATACATAAATGTGTTATCGATTAGTGATTACTGGAGATAATTTTGGAAATACTGTTGCAGGATATAGTTGCTCTGTGCCTTTTCATCAGTGGCTTTTTACACTCATAGGTAGACTGAGAGTGTATGGTTCATGAAAATTGTCAAGTAGTTTGTGTTTGCTCAAATAGTTTATTGATCGGGAAGATTGTCCAGACGAGTATGATGGGGTGGAACGCACGGAGACGTCACATGGTGAAATAAACTGCTGCTGGTTCGCAAGCACCTTCAATTCGTATTTGTGGACGACATTAAATATTTCGTTTTTAGCCTCAATCCATTCTCGAGGGGGTAGGGGTTTCAATGCTGGGGCTAATCCTGCTTAAAAGGCATCCACAAGATGCTGCGGGCGAGGTGGAGTGGCCGCACTTTCCTTTTTTTATAAAGGACATATTTCACAAGGGTAGCTGCCGCGGTTTTCGGAGGGTTCTTCTTTGAGAACTTTGTTTTCTTTTGACGCATAGCCTTTGAGCCCATCTGGTTCGATATTGGTGCATTCTGACTTTGGACTTTCGTATCCCCTGGGTTTGTTGCCTCGTCAGCATCCCGACCAGTTTCATCGTTTCCGAGCGATATCATCACTTTCTCGTGATTCTGCACCAGACAATTCTTGAATGGTTTCCATTCTGTCAAGGTTTGTGAATGTCTCCCTCTCTTCAAATAATTTGACCAAAAACTTCAACTGCTCTGAATATTTGTAAGGCTTAATGATCTTAGCATTTTACACACTTAGTTTCTTGTTTTTGCAAAGATTTCCTGAAATTGTCCCTCATACTTGTCCATTTGCTTTTACATGCAGGACCTGAAACGTGAAAAAGAGCTATTGTCGGTAGTTCAATTAATAAAGTAATAAAAACTAATATGATAATAAAAATAAATTAATAAAATGATAAAAAATAAACAATTTCAACCCAAATTGTTTTTCTCTATTTGGCCACTGGAGATGCATTCAAGACAATCTCGTTCAGCTATCGTATGGGGCACAGTACAGTTAGCAAGATTGTGCCAGAAACCTGCAGGATTATTGCTAAGAATCTGATGGCAGAATTGATGCCTACTCATACAGAGGAAATGTGGAAGAAAATTGCTAATGATTATCAAGAAATGTGGAATGTTCCAAATTGTGTTGGAGCACTCGATGGAAAAAATATCGTTATCCAGGCTCCTCCCAACAGTGGTTCAATATTCTTCAATTATAAAAAGACATTTTCAGTTGTTCTATTAGTTCTTGTAGACGCTCATTGCAATTTTATTACGGTCGACGTAGGGGCTTATGGTAAGAGAAGCGGGGTTTCCTCCAAATTGAAGCTGTTAAAATCACTATAGTATCTAACACTAAATATACCTGAATCTACCTTATCAAATACATACATTGAAGCTCCAAATGTTATTGTTGAGGTTGAAGCATTTTCTCTGAACACGTACTTTGTGCGACCATATCCAGGGGATAATTTTAATGATAAGACACGTCACTACAGTTCTTGTTTGAATCGTGCCAGAAGAACTTCAGAGTACACTTTTGGAATTTCGACTCGACTGTACAATAGAAGAATTCAGGTGCTTCCAAATTCTGCAGATTACCTAATTTTGGCCACATGCTTGCTGTATAACGTTATCAGAAATAACGATTGCAACCCGTATCAGTACGTTATTTTGACAGAGGATACGAGTGCGGGTGGCGCTCTACGAAGTATAAATTCTCAAGGAGGAAACGCGACGAGAGAAGCATTCTGTGTACGAGAAATATTCACCGACGATTTAAGTTCTGATGGTGGGTCCCTCCCTTGTTCAGAAGCACAAACATCTTAAGGAACTTCCTTCATAGGTATAAATTAATATAATTTCAATATCTTGTTGCTATTATTTATAACGCAAACTAATTAAAATAAACATGTACTTACCATCTGATTTTATTCCTGCTCCTATTTTACTCCCCGTCGATCCTTGGAGCGCAAAATTCTCTAGGGGCTACAAATTACCATTTTTTATATTTCTCTGGAACGGTACGAGTAACCATAAAAATAGCTTACATCAGAATTGTATAGCATGCAATTCTTTATAAAAGTTGCCCGATTACTTTTTTATCAGTCGGCGTTTATGCGTTATTTATACGATCTACTGCTACGTATCATATTTTGTGTATGTTATCGATCGTTTAATATGATGATGCTTTGTGCATTTTCTTCCGCATCGTTTAAATCAATGAGTAGATTCATGAATATAAAAATGTCTTTATTAATACGGTAATTAATGTCTTTCACACTAAGGTAAGTGGCAATGTGTATTATATTGAAAATTAGGTATAACATAATTTTATTTTCATCAACCTCTATGTCTTTCACGTTTTATTTGAGGAAAAGGAAAGCCCTTAATGCAGTATCTACTAAAACTTCAGCTATAACATCATGTCACGTTTTTAACTCAACATTATTATCTCCTCGAAGCACGCTTTGTATTTCACTGAATGTTTTTTTCCGCGTTTCTGGCAGAACGAAAACTAAAAAACCCAAACCAAATGAAAGAAATATCGCGAAAGTCCACATGGACCATGCCATACCCAGGAGTTTTGACAGGTGAGGAAATATAAACGATACTGAGAAGGCTAATGTTACAACAAAAACAGCGGCAAAGGAGCTTAACGTGGATTTTACATTTGGCGGGAAAATTTCGCCTAAAATTGTCCACGAAAGGCCTCCAGGAGCTATGTTGAAACAACAAATATATACCATGATACTAGCGATAGGACACCAACTGAAAGATGTTGCATTATAGCCCAAATTCAAAAGATAGAAGTATATTCCCAGAGTTGTTAGAGAAACTAACATACCCGCATATGAAAATATCATTAAAGTTTTTCTATTTATTTTGTCAACGATGCATATCGTTATAACAACTGTAAGTGTCTGAACTACCCCTATAATCATGACACAAACATACCCCGGTAAAGAGGACCCTGCACTATCAAATATAGTTTGAGAATAAGAAACGATCGCTAAGATACCACTAAACTGTTGGAAAAACATCAAGCCTATAGTTATTACAAAACATTTCCTCAACACTCTAGAAAAAAATATCTCTTTGCAAGATAACTTTGTTCTGGTTTCCTCTACGTTACGGATGATGTCAACCAGTTCTTTTTTAACGTCAGTAGTTTTTCTCAAGTTCTTCAGACATTCTTCTGCTTCTTCAGTTTTATCTTTTAAAACATAGTAGTAAGGGCTTTCAGGGACACAAAATCCAAAGTGTACTAAAAACAAACACGAAGGGATGAGTGATATCATTGCCATCATTCTTACTGTAACATAAGGACCGACGAAATATAACAAATTCTGGATTGCACAAATCATGAGAGGCATAAACAAACTAGTTGTGCCTCTATTTTGAGTCTCCGAAATTTCAGACACATACGCAGGTATCAGCGAAATTGAGACACCATTTCCTATTCCTAGGAGAAACCTTGCTATGTAAAAGAGAGTCACTGAGTTTGCAAAAATAAATACAATGTTCGCAGCTACCATAGGCAACGAAAATATTATAAGTACTATTTTTCGTCCAAACTTGTCTGCTAATACCCCACTAAAAAGTGGTCCGAAGATGGACCCTAAGGTGTGTAAGGAGGTGATCCAAGCATCTTCCATGATCGTCGTGGGTTGAGGGAGGGGATTCATGTCAGGATCAATAGCGCCGTTGAGTTTCGGAATGAATGGTGAAGGCCATCCATAGCCCATGCCTCCTACCATTGACATCAGGTTAACTGAAAGAACATGGCGTCAATTAGGTTGATTCTGCACTCTGCCTGTGGCGTTGAAGGCACAGTATGATAGTTTTTGATACTTTACATTTACATACAGGTACATCTTCTTGTTAAGTTTCGCTGGACGCGGGTATTTCAATATTTCATTTTAAGTCTTGAAGGCAGATGTACATGTGAAATATGTGTAAAACTAGTCTCTGAAACGTCAGAAAGCTGAGTTTGAGAAATTTTTATTTTTTTCCTTTTCGTCCGTAGCTCCCCCGCCACTAGATCAATTTTCTAAACCTAACCGATTTTTCGTCATGGTAGTATCCTTGTGTCTTTTCATCAAAATCCGAGCGGCACTTTCCAAGTTAAAAAAGATCAATGATCAGCGAACAGACAGACAGACCAACGGAAATGGACATCGTTTTTTGTAATGTCATTGAACATTACAATGCTTGTTTCCCATTTGGCGTAGGGAAGTAAAAGAAAGCTTACTTGTACTGTTTAAGCAAAATTCTTTGAAAGTTTACTACTAATTTTAAGACATACCTCACGTTTATCCCAGTTTCCTTCCCATACATAAGCAAAGTGTTCATTGTGGTTGTGAAGGATTTTGCAAACATGTCAAATCACATTTATCGGCGGCTTTATAATGCCTACAATATAACAGTCTGTGTCCTCTATTTCCTTTGGTCTCTCAATAGTTTTTTTAACATACTAAGAAATAATAAAATTATGCTATGGAGTAGTAAAAACAACTATTTTAAAGAAACATTATTAAAAAAAAAGTTGAATCGCTTAATAAAGTTGAGATGAAATCATATCCATTAATTTAGTTGCAATTACTAAATTCTTTTTTTTCCCAAATTATACTGTACAAGCCATTGTACTAAACAGAAGGCCTACACTGATTACATTTTTGGAAAAAACATATATGGTGTAAGGCTTACCTGAAGCAGCACATAGATACAAGTGCCAATTTCCCCGAGATCCTGCTTCTGCCATTTACCAAGCTTATTTAGAAAATAATCAGTGAGTAAGAAGTCAGAAGCAAACCGACTTTGATACACCTTTATTTTGAACATTTTGCTATCAAAAAATGTATTATTTACAACTTATTGTTCGTACGATTTGTGACTAGAGTTGTCGTGCAAATACCTCTGAAACAAAGAATTTATGCGAGTCTTACTAAATCATTTGAATAAATTGTATGCGAAGAGATTTGCAGTCTGTAGTAGGTGTTTACGCAGTCGTCATCAAAGGACAACTAAATCTTTGATATTAGCGTAAAATTATCTCGTTGCCGTTAAACAAATAGCAAACGGTATATATACTACAAAAATTAAAAGCATTTCACCACATTTATGTGCTAATTCATACTTAAAGAATAATTCTTGATTCCCATGCACCACGAAACGTTCATTTATTATTACATACAAATTGTGTAGGTGATAGATGTACAATTCTGTTCACCCAGTGAAACGAAATGTTCTAATACCAACTGTGATGCAGTACTTCATGGGAAGTGTTTCGATGCAATCCTTATCATTGTTACATCAAACAGAGAATAATTTCGCTGTAAAAACTGTGCAGAAATCAATAAAGCATATACTAACACGTTTAATACTTAGCTCTTGCAAAAAGAAGTTGGTTGTCTCTCGAGAGAAAAGCAGTTGTTAGAAAAATATGTTTTCCAATAATGTGTTGAAAAAACACATTCACTCTGATCCTGTTGTGTCGTCATCGGCTACCCGTTTCTTGCCTCATTCCTTGTCGTCAGTTCCTTATTCTGAAGCGGTGAAAAAGAAGGTAAACACACCGGCTGTATTGATAATCAAATAAACTGGCACTCTGCAGAACTTGAAAGATGGTCTTAAGCGGGAAGCTGGAAACAACTTTGATATCTATGGGCCCAAAAAACTACGACCAATGCTTTTAGTTCAGGGTGTGGATAAGTCTGCTTCTGATAATCCTCAAATTTCGGATAACATAATTGGAGACAATGATCTCAGTGGCCCTGTAAATGATGTTCGAGTGGTTACAAAAGTTGAATATAAAAATACTGTTAACCCTCGGTTAGGCGCGCGGCTGTTTATAACGTATTTGGGCGCGCGGGCTACAATTGTAGCCCAACTTTTATTCCATATAAAATTTGTTTATGCCTTTTTTATGCCGCTTTTTTCATAAGATATATTTACTATGATATTACTTAATCGCTAAAATGTGATTTCCTTGCTTTCATGTACAAATATGTTTTAGCATGTGCATAAAATACCAATTATGAATATTTCTTATGTATTTTCGAAGCAGCTCGTATTCATTGTCTTTTGCAAATGAAATATACAACTGTGGAACCACAACTTATTATTTAGAGAAAAAATACAACATACTTAACCTAACACAAAATCCAAATCAATCAAATAATAATAAATGGCAATGTTCTGGAGTCCCCAATATGACAAACTTCTATTCCTTCAGGCATGCCGTGCAAGTATCACTCATGTGTTGTTTGCATGCAAACCTTCTACATTGCGAACAAATTTTACGTGTTGATTTATCACGTTGTCTAGGGCAAATATGACAACGTCCAACAGTGGTTTTTGGTTGATTAGAGGGGGAAGGTGATACCTCCCTAACATTTAGAGTAGCTCGTGCCCGTCGCCTCATATCCACTGGCAGTGACGGGATGGTTGACCGAAATTCTATTCGGATCAGATCCCATGCACAAGTTTGTAAAAAGTCGGACCGTGCGATTCTTTTTTGTGGTGGGTGATTTGCCTTATAGACGCACAATGCGTTTATGCCAGATATGTTGATCAAGTTGTAAAATACCACCATTGGCCAACGACGTGTATTTCTTGCAACATTGTACTTCTGGCATAACTGGTCTACCAGGTCAACACCAATTTTTGTGTGATTATAATCGGCTATGATTACTGGTTTTTTGTCATCACCCGTTTCCTCATCTATTGCATCATCAAAGTGCATGGACGATAACAAAATCACAGATCTATTTTTTTTTGGGCAGTACGATACCATGGTACAGTCCTTCTGAAAACCAAACAAGGACGATTTCTCTGGTCGATTCTTATTCGGCAAGAATTGTGGAGGGATTTCCCTCTTATTTTTTCGCATAGTTCCGATGTAGGTTAGCTTTTTTTCTTGTAACAGTTTTTTCACCAATGATAAACTGGTAAACCAGTTATCGCCCGTGATATTGCGATTGGTCCCTGCCACTGGATTTACTAATCTGATTACAATGTCTTCGGAGGAATTACTGAGCTTATGTGGACCCTCTGGTTGTGTTCCAACGTAGGTTTCCAAGTTGAATGTGTATGATGTCTTTGAATCACACAGCGCAAATGTCTTGATGCCATATTTGGCCGGCTTTGATGGAATGAACTGCTTGAATCCACAGCGTCCTCTAAAAGCTAACAACTGCTCGTCAACAGTGAGGTACTCACTGGCAATAAAATTGTTTTGAAAATTCACCAAGAATGTTTCAAATAGTTGTCGAATGGGCGCCAACTTATCTATTTCCTTTCTTTCATCTCTTGTTCTTATGTCATCAAACCGCAAACACCTTATCAGAAATCTAAATCTCTTTTCACTCATCGCTAGATAGCAAGCTTCCACTCCACTTCCTTTAGAGTTATCCCAAATATTTTTCAGGTTTTTCCGTGAACTTCTGAGGGTTCCAATCAGAATGAGAATTCCAATGAAAGCTGTAATTTCTCTCTCATCAGTTTGCCTGGCATCTCTGAACCGTTGAAACTTACTTTTGACTTTCATGATATATATGTTGGTAGAAATAGTTATAATTCTTATCACCGTGTCATTTATAAATAGTTTTAGGCAATCAGTTTCACTCCTGGCATTTCGCGCACTACCTTTTGTTCCGGGCAACAATTTTATTATGTTCTGAGACCGAGTACGCACTTGAGTGTTGGATCTACCCTTCTTCCACTTGGTAACTTTGTCTTTTCCCCAGTAAAATGTATCAGCTTCTCCTTCATCGGTTTCTTCTTCCCAATCAGGCTCATCTTGATCTACCTCCGGTATTTCTTGTTCAGACTCTGCCTCATGATGGTCACTTTCCACACACACATCCTCTTCTTTTTCATCCGAGTCTTCCTAATCGAGTGGGCTTTCCTCCCCACTTGATATTTCGTTGAACCATTGCAACCATACTTCAGGATCCCTGCTTGTCTGTACACACCTTCTTTTCGGGTCGGACATTCTGTTTTTATAGATTTCCCTGTAATTCATGGAATAACTGTATGCATATTTACAATTGAAACAGTAACACTTACCTCAAATCAATGAAAACTAGTAAAATCCAAGGTTTGCCTAGCCGAGAAAATATTACGTGATTAGGCGCGCGGGCTACAATTGTAGACCAGCCGATTTTAGGCGCGAAAAACAACAACGACAATACGCCTCAAGCACGCGCATCATACTGATCAAGTGGAGCAAAACAAATAGAACAGCTACTAGCGGGGGCGCTCGCATCTGCATATTTTCTTTGCGTTTCATCACCATTCGAATATCGGTGGGCTACAATCGTAGCCCGCGCGCCTAACGAAGGGTTAATGTTATTTTAGAAGTTCCTCCTTGTTTTCAAAAACATTATGGGAAGGGGTTTTTTGTACGTTGGCTGGCAGAAATGTGGCACGGAAGAACATTTTAATAATGTTAGATGCTATAAATGTAACAAGTTTGAACATTATAATTGCTCAGGTAATCACGAAAAGAGAGACAGACGTTCACCTAATCTTATCTGTATCAATTGCAAAGAAATTAACAATAAATTGAAAAACAGTTGCCCGACTGATCATTCTGTTAACAGTCTACAATGTTCGTACTATCTAAATAAATTAGATCAACTTAAATCAAGAATTGAATATGAATAATAACTTAAGAATAGGTCATTTGAATTGCAGATCTCTCAAGTCGGATTTCGATGCTGTTGTTAACTTAATATTAGTTGAAAAATTCCACATTTTTGCTGTCTCAGAGACATGGTTGAATCAAGACATTCCTAGCAGTTCGGTGAGTATCAGAGATTACAATTTCCTTCGCTGTGATAGAAGCGCACTCGTGGCGGTGGAGTCGGCGTATACATTCATTCAAACTATCAACTAGAGCGTATTATATTTGATATTAATACAGGCACGTGTTTGGAAAGCTTGTGGTTACAAATATATACTAACAAATGTAAACTTCTTGTACGTGTTTTATATAGACCTGCATCTGAAAGTGTTCCAGAATGCGTCAATATCTTAGACTCTCTGGTGCCATTAATCTGCCTTAATTTTGACAAAGTTTTTATTACTGGTAATCTAAATGTTAATCTTCTTAATCCACAGAACGCTCTATCTCCTTGCTTTGAGTTGGTGGGCTTTACTCAGCTCGTCAAATATGTTACTCGTGTAACGAATGATACAGAAACTGTTCTGGGCCCGATTTTCACCAATAAACCGCAACTGTCTGATGAATGTTTTATACTGGATGCTTGTGGTATTTCAGACCATGAAGTCGTATGTTGTAGTATATGAACGTGAAAGATTACTGTTAAAAAATAGAAATTTATCACGGTAAGAGACTTTCAACAGTTCAATGAGAAAAGTTTTTTGCTAGAGCCTCAAAGGAATTAGATACAATTTTTTACTTACAAAGCATTGAAGACAAAGTTGAATACTTAACTAAAGCAGTTATAGATGCATATGATGAACACACTCCAATCAGAACATTCAGAGTTAACAAAAAACCTGCTCCTTGGTTGAACAGCAACCTTAAGAAACTACTGAAAGAAAAAGATGAAGCCTAAAACAAAACCAACCCAGCGTTCAGATTTACGACCAATAAGTTTATTGCCGGTGTTGTCAAAAATCTTATCCACTAATCAGTCTCGTTTCAGAAAACACTATAGTACAACAGCGGCCCTATTAAATCTATGTGATAATATGCTACGTGCACGTGATAAAAAGATCACAATAGCTTTAATATCGGTTGATCATTCTAAGGCATTTGATAGGACCAATCATCTTCTTCTAGCTAAATTGAAATA